CCACAATGTTTGGAAGGATGGTTATTGAACAAGTATTTATTGAGCACCTGCTATCTAAAACGTAAATAGTGGCTATTTTAGGGCGACCAGATTGCAGATAATTTCTTTTTCTTTTTTTCTTATAGGGACTAAATATCAGTTTGTATAATTTATAAGTTAATTTTTAAATATACAAATTAAACCACAAATTCCCCAGTTGAGAGAAGAGAGTTCTTAAAATATACACTGCTAAAGTCAGAGTTTTGGCCACAGAAAAACATGATTACAGACTGCAAACATATTGCAAAGTTGGTGTCCGTGTCACACGGTGCAAAAGTTCATCCCTTCCTAAGCCAGGTGCTGCCCAGGCAGCCTGCATAGGGGCAGCTCCGTCTTCCTTCAAACTGAAGGTATTGATGCCGTGAGCTCCTTGTACACTGCAGAGAGAGCCGTAAAGCTCACATGAGGACTATTACATGGCTCTTCTGTCCTTTCCAGTCCAAGGATAAAAGTCAGTGACAGGGAAGTTTTTGTCATGTCTTCTACAAGATTGAGCATTTCAAATGAGCCCTTTCAAATGTAGGCAGATCATACCTCCATTGTTGAATTGGACACCCTGAAACGGCCTGCCAGTGACAGGGATGAAATACTGCCCAGAATTGACACCACCGAAGCCAGATTCCCAACTGTGGTTGATGGGCTTTGCTCAACGATGACTGCAAGATTTTGCACCACGGATGACACAGCTGCCTCAGTGGCATTGCTTGCAAACATGTTGAAATTCTAGGAAGAAAAATGGTGAAGTTCTTGAAAACTATGAAATTCTGTGTTGCATCAAGTTTAAATCAGGTGCCTTGGCCACACAGAACTAACATTGGTATGATGAGTTAGAACGTAGGATAATTATGTAACAATAATAACAACAGTGGCTGTTACTCAGTGCTTTCTGTGTTTTAGATGCTGGCTAAATGCTTTACCAGGGATTCGTTGATTGAATCCTTTCAACACCCTTTGAAGGGAGGTACCATTATTATTTTCATTTTATAACTAAGGAAACTGAAACATGAAAAGATGCACTAAAACCTTTTTCATATAATTCATTATTCTAGTTATACAGAAACTGATGTTCAGTGAGATTGGTGACCTTTGAAAGGGGACTGAGCTAGGAAATGGTAGGGTGAGGTCTCCTGGCACTAATCCTCTGTTATATCCACTATGCTGCACTGAGAATCCCCTGTAAGACGGGAAGACAGAGGGACACACGCAGAGATTTGACTACTGGGCTTGTGCCGGCCCCCATTTTCTCACTAGATTCGGAGTTTCACTTCTTCCTGAGGCTCCCATCTGCTTCCACGATACTAGGCCAACTTGGAAAACAGCAAAAGAGGAGTATTCCCTTCCAGTCAACATAAGCCAACCCAGGAGCCCAGATCCTACCTGTTCCCCTTGTTCTTCTCAGCTGATAGTGCCATTCTCTGTTTAGGGCACTGGGGTCTACCACCCTCACATCGTGGGGTGCACTAGTCCCAACTATTGCTCGTGTCCGAGCAAGAACAGACATACAGGCCATCTGGCCCAGTCCTCCTCCCCAGTTTGCAGATGGGGAAACAGAAGTCTGGAAGGGAAGCAGTAAACAGTGCCTTAATAAATACTATTTCTGGGGTTCTCTGCTGCAGTGGCAGGGTCTCTGGCTACGACAGAAGTTCTGCTCACTGTGGAATCTACTTGCCAAACAGTGTTTGTGAACTGGTCTTAGGGTCCTTCTTTTCTGTGATTTGAGTTCTTCTGATTCCTGATCACTCACTTCCTTCTTTCTGTCTACCTTGTCTTAGTACTTGTACCTTCCCAAGAAAACATGACGTAGCGGTCACTGGACTGGAAATGAAGTGACCATGCTTCTAGTTCAACACTATTGCTACCAGAGGAATCACTGGCCCCTGGGTCTTTTGTTTCCTGATCTGTAAAAGGAGGTGGGTAAATGAGATGACCTTAAGTTCTGTCATTGCAGTCCTGTCATTATATACGATTCACCCCTGCCTGACCCACTCCTTGCCCTGATTTCTGATACACGAACGCCCTTACTTGTACCATGCCTACTGGCTTCTGACTCACACCTTCACTTTGTTCTTTGATTCCCTGGCCTTCTGGACTTCCTAGGCTAACTTAGCTGTTGCCCTACCATCCATCACAGATCTCCTCAGCATTGGTTTCCTCCTCTGCACACCCCTCCCCAACGAAACCATGCACTCTGATCTTTTGAACTGCTACCTAGATGTTGCCACTCATGCCATGCTCCTGGGGTTCACCCTCGCCCTCTGCGCACTGGCCAATGATACAAACAGATATATTTACCCTCCATCTATCCATGCTCACTGTGAGATGCCCACTGGGAAATGCAAAACCAGGGCAAGCCTACAAAGTGGAAATGCCTTACCTCCTCCAGTTCTTGCAGCTGAAGGAGCACACAAGTCTCCCTGATGATCTGCCACCCAGAGAGCTGGCACCTGGCTGTGATGTTTCCAGTGTAGCCACTGCTACAGGGCAGGGTATACTCATCATCCTTAGACCCAAATCCAAAGATATTGCTGTTACACAGGGCTGGGAAAGAATGAAAACAGAGAGGAAAAAGGATTCTAGAATATCCTGGCCCTCTATATAAACCATGCAGTAGTGTCTAAATGCTTTAGAGGTTGTATTTTTAGAGACAATACCCAGGTGAGTTTTGGAGAGGTTTGTCCAAAACCTCTCAGAAGTTGGAGAGGTTTGTCTTGGTGGCCAGCTTCATCTCGACACCACCATTGACTACTTCCTGACACCACACCCTCCCTGAGCCTGGCTCCTCCTTCCAGGTGTTGGATCTATGCCAACAATATCACTTTTAATGGGCAAGTATTGGATGAAAATAAGGCAAGATGTGATCACTCCCAGGAAATAGTCTCCCTCTTCAAGAAAATGCTAGAAAACCAGAAATTTTTCAAGATACTATGGAACAAAGCAGTAATAATATGGTTAAAATATGGGCAGTTGTTATTTGGGGGTGACATTTCCTACCTTGTACCCCTTTTAAAAACTTCTCACATTGCAACAGTCACAAGTTACACTTGCAGTTAGCCTGTAATAATATATTCTTAGCATGTTTGGAACTGGGAGATGGAAACATTGAATGGAAGAGCCACAGAGCTATGATTTTTGTTTGTTTTCCCCATTGCTGCATTCTAAGTGTCTAGACACTTTGGACACCTGGTAAACATTTGTTGATTAAATGTTGTTGAAACATGTGGCATAAATTTTGGTAGAAGAGGCTTAAGATTATGAATATAAGGAAGTAAAATGAAAAAAAAAAAAACCTAAAGAGAAGAGTGACAGGTATGTGTGTGTGTTTATGTGAGTTAAAAACATGGATATATGCATTCTTTCCTTGGTTCTTTGGATTACGACTTAGGAATATTGTCAGCCCCAGGGCTCTTTCAACATGTATACCAGTAAACTATTGTGCAATCATTTACCACCACAGCCTACAGTGAAATCAGCCTTCCACGATGTTTACACTAAGAGGTGGGAGATCAGATCACCGAATGGCAAGAATTTGAAATAGTCAGCTGAAGTTGAGTTTCATCATGGCGGGGGGAAAACAGCTGCGTGTTTGTACTGAAAGTCGGTTAGAGAACGATTTTTTATTGAAATGCCTCCAATCTACTTCCTGAGGACACAAATGAGCTACTATTAATAAATGACTCCCTTAACCTAAGCAGAGGATGTGAATCCAGCATTACCTTTCCTGAATACTCTGAAAGAGCTGTCTTCTATTGGAAACAGCTCGCGAAGATCTGCTTTGGCCTCCTCAGCCACCTGTTCAATGGCTGACAGCAACTCGGATGCACTGCTGGAACCGACAACTTCATACCCGGCAATGATGCTTCCATCCCTGTAATGACTGTGGAAAGAGAAACGAGATTCACTATGTTTACGCATTCAATCACTCAGGGCCTACTCTGTGTGTGCATAACATTGGGTCCACAGGAATAAACCAGACAGATTTGGCCTTTGCCTTCACAGAGCTTGCACTCTCATGGAGAAGGCAAGGCAAGCAGGAAATGAGTAACCACCACTTTGAATCTCAGGCCTGAAGCATGAGAAGAAAAGACCAGTGACTCAAAGAACAATGGTATAGCAAGCCAGCACACGTGACAGTCCCGAGGAAGGGGAATGCCTGCAAGTTTGACAAACTTAAAGATCGGCATAACGACCTTTTAGGGGCAAATCAATGTTTGCCTTCCATGTATTGATTTATGACTTTACCTGTAACCCCTGTCTCCCTGAAATGTATAAAACCAACTGTAACCCAGCCACAGTGAGTCCACTTGCTTAAGGCTTCTTGGGCGTGGCCCTGGGTCATGGTCCTCAAATTTGGCTCAGAATAAATCTCTTTAAAATTAAAAAAAAAAAAAAAAACTGGCATGATGAAAATCTAATCAGTAAAGGAGAAATGGGGAGGAGATGATATTGGAGTGCTAGCCAGGAGCCAGAACACACAGGACCCTAGAGTTGGAATTTTACTCGTCATTAAAAAGTTTTATTCTCTATTAAAAGGTAGTGGCGTGATCAGATTTGTTTTTAAGATCATCACTCTGGCTGATGTGCAAAAAAACAAACAAACAAAAAAAGACTGAAGGGAGGCAAGCGGAGAAGCAGGAAGACCAATTAGAAAGGAGCTGGTGGTGTTTGAACCGGTTGGGTAGCTGTACCTGTGGAGAGAAGGGGTCAGGTTCAGGCCGTATTTGAAGACAGAGCCATAGGATTTGCTAATGGAGCAGACTGTGGGTGTGAGAGAAAGAAATCAGTCAAAAATGACTCCAAAGAAAGGAAAAACAGATTGTAATATATCATACAGAGGAATAGTACTGGACAGTAAGAAAGAAGGAACCACCCATGCTCAGAAAAACAAGGCTGGGTCTCAAAGGTGTTATGCTGAATGAAAGAAGCCACAGGGAACTTTTGAGGTGATGGAGATGTTCTGTCATGATAGGAAGGTGCTGGTAGAAGCCTTTGTCGAAGCTGAATGAACTGCTAAGGTCTGAGCACAACACTATATGTAAATTGCACCTCAATAAAAGAAATTAAAACAAAGGATGGTTGCAAGGTTTTGGTCTACGCAACTCTCAACTAGGAGAATAGCATCACTATAACGGAAATGGGGAAGACAGTGGGAAAAGTAGGTTATAGGTTAAGAGGGGGAGAGTTGGAGGACCCTGGTTTGGACATGTTGCGTTTGACATGCCAACTGGAAAACCAAGCGGGGATGTCAAGTGGATAGTTGGATATTTAGGTCTGGAGTTCAGGGAAGAGGCTAAGCTCACTAATGCATTTAGAAACCATCCACATACAGATGTGTTTAAAGCCATGAAAGCAAATGAGATAACATGTATTAATTAACTTAATCCTGTAATAACCCATGAGACAAGCACTGTATTATGCCCATTTTATAGATAAGGGAACTGAGGCCCAAAGTGAAGTTGGGTGAGATAATTATTAATTACTAATCTATGGATTGGAACCTCTGATGCTCCAAAGCTCAAATTCTTAACCACTACTTTGAAATTTTGCTCAAAATGTATAAAGAAATCCAAACACCCTTTTGTGTAATGATGGCCACAATGCCTTTGCATTGAAATGGCCTTTCTATTGTTTACGAAGTATTTTCCTGCCTATTATTTTGTTTGATCTAATGAAGTTAAATCAGTTTCCACAAATAATAACTGTCCTATTTGACAGATAAATAAATTGAGACAGTGAGAGATTACGATTTGTTTTAAATCATATATGTAAAAAGTAAAACTTTACAAGTTGTATTTCATAGTCTTATGCCAACTTTTACTGTGATTTTGTCTACAGATTATTGGAGACAGCTTAGAAGATATACATGATGAAATATAAGTTATAAGTATAAATAAAAAATCAGGACCAATAAAAGAAAAATATGAATATTGAATATAAAAATCACTATGATTGAGTTTCAGTTTTGTCTATGAGTTCACCAGCAGCAAATTTAAAAAGGGAAACATAATTAATTATATAAATCTCAATATAAAAAAAGCAGCGTTTTCCCTAGCATTGAATTTTAAAGAAAATTATTAATGTGGGACTTCATAGAAAGACATGGGACGACTTAAAGGACAATGCCCAGGACAACATATTTATAGCAAATGCTGTTAAAAATTTCCCATGGCTGTTTTTAAGTTAACTGTGAAAAAATATATAAGAAGTCAAATTCTCTGGCCTCTAAGCCACTTCCTCTATTAAGCAGACTATTAACAGTTGGTAATTAATG